TGCTGCTTACCGTGGCGATATTTTAAAATAGATGCGAAAGCATTTGAATTGAAGGAACACTTGGTCTTTTCCTCTGCGCAGCAGGCGCCACTGGATGGAGACCCGCTCTCCGGGCGGCAGCCGGACCCCAGGAGCTCCCGGTGCTGCCGATGGCGCCAGGCGGCAGTGCTGCCTTCCCAGCTCCACACCCCCCACCCCCACCCCCGGTGCGCAGAGCCCACCCCGCCTCCTGAGTGGCTGCGGGAAGGAACGGGGAGCACTGGGAGCACTGGGAGCCCTGGGAGCAGTGCCTGGCGCAGCGGGAACATGGTCTGTGTGACAGCGGAGGTGCCGAGAGAATTCCTTTAATCCCGGTTTCCGAGAGGTGCTGCTCTTCTGAGCGTGCAGGGAGTGGGCAGATTCTGGTCCTAAATCACTCAGCCCGTCAGCTGGTCAGCCTGTGGAGCCAGACTGCACCGCGAGACTCCCGTGCTAATCAGACCCAGGGACCGTGAGTGCAGTTCACGAGGCTCCGCTAGGCCACCTCTGGCCCCTGCGGCACCGGCCTGGGCAGCGACAGAGCAGGGGCACAGCCTGTCCACGACTGTGCCCTGCGGTCCCCCACCACACTCCCCCGTGCACACCGCCACCCCCACATGCCAGCACCACACTCAGCCTGGATGAATGGGGCAGAGGCTGTCCCGCAGCCATGTAACGCGGGACACCCTGCTGAGCGGGAGAAAACACAGCATTACTACCGATCCCTCCGGCTCCCCTCCAGCCCTCCAGCCCCCCAGCCCCCCTCCAGCCTCCTCCCCACCCAGCCTCCTCCCCCCTCCAGCCTCCTCCCCCCTCCAGCCTCCTCCACCCTCCAGCCCCCTCCATCCCTCTCCAGCCCCCTCCAGCTCCCACCAGCCTCCTCCTCCCTCAAGCCCCCCTCCAGCTCCCTCCCCCCTCCAGCCCCCTCCCCCCCAGTCCCCCTCCAGCCTCCTCCAGCCCTCAGCAGAGTGACTGCAGTGTCGCCTCTCAGAGCCAAGCGCTCACTCAGTTACACTCCAAGCACCTGTAAGCCTCAGCCTCATGCTAAGCACTGCCGTGCGACCGTGAGGACCGTCCCATCCTTTACTCTCATCAGAAAGGCACACTTGACATTGAATCAGCAAACACATGAGTTTGCTGGGACGCTGGCCCAGGGTGCCCACTCAGGACCACGGGGCCTCCGAGAGGGGGCGCTCTGCTCACTCCCTGAGGGGAAGGGGCGGGCCGGGGGGCGCTGGCGGAGGCTGGCACCCGGGGACTCGGGTGGACAAAGCCAGAAGGAAAGACAAGCAGGCAAGAAGCTCAGAAATGCGCTTCCCTTGGGAGAGGGCTACGGCTGGACCTCTGAGCCCCCAAAGCCCCCTCTGCTCGGAGCCCGGACACTGTTCTGGGCGGCGGAGAGCTCGGGAGGGGCTTGAACCCAGAGCCACATCAATGCACATCCCCTCACTCTGTACCCTGAACGACACCCGAAGCCAGCGTACTTGGGGGCCAAGGGCAGCACGGACAGCCCTGGCCACCAGAGGCGGTCCTCGGAGCACCTTGAGGCCGCCGTAACTTACCCCCACGGCTGCACTGCCCGCAGCCTCCACCACGTCCGAATGCACTCCTGCTACTGCCCACCGTTTCCCGCCCCCACTCTTACTGTGGCGAGTCAGGAACAGCGACAGACAGACTGCACGAGGCGCACGGCGCCCGCCCTGAGCCCGGGAAGGTGTGGGGAGGGGAGTTGTGAGATCCCGAAAGGGGGTCCAGGCTAGCACGCAGACATGAAAGGCATGCCCTCAGCTGCGTCAAATGAGTGGGCGTACTCGTGATCATCGTTTCTGATTCAGTCCAAGGATCAAGGCCAGAGCCTGCCCCCCAAGGGCTGAGGCAGACGCCCCAAAGTGTAGAGCCCCGTCCAGTCCCTGTACATGACAGTCCCTGCTGGGCCCACGCCCGGGAACGGAAGGCACTGGCCAGCGAAACCCGCGTCAACGGTGCTGCCGCCGAGGGATCCTGTTGACCATCACTGACGACAGCTCCCTTTTCACTCCCCACAGGATCAGGAGCTTTCCCCTTTCCCAGCACCTTCTGCGGGCCAGACACTGGGCTGACCTTCTGTAGTCATTATTGCTTAGCGGGAATCGTCAAAATAGTGGGCCAGTGAGAGTGGACTCGGTGGGAATAACCAGAACCAATGGGAACGAACTAAATGTCAGCCGACTGAGCAATCACCACCCAGAGGCCGCGCACTCATAATCCACAGCCCCAGGCGGCTTATGGATGTATTCTATTTGGCTGAATTGTGTTTAATTTTTAAAAATTTGTTGCTCAGCTGGTATGGCTCGGTGGTTGAGCATCGACCTATGCACCAGGAGGTCATGGTTCGATTCCCAGTCACAGCACATGCCCCAGTTGCGGGCTCGATCCCCAGTGTGGGGTGTGCAGGAGGCAGCTGATCAATGACTCTCTCTCATCATTGATGTTTCTATCTCACTCTCTCCTTTCCTCTCTGAAATCAATAAAATATGTTTTATAAAAACAAAAAATAGAATCTGTTGCAAAGATATAAAAAAAAAATAGTGAGATTTCACATAAAAAAGCTGACGAGGACGGAGCAGTGCACACCTGCCTCTCCGCACAGGAAACCTCAGGCCAGGCACAGGCAGCCGCTAACGGGAAAGACTTCAGTAGCTGTTGGTGGCCGCCAGGCCTTCTGCTGGCCACGGGGAAGGAACACCGGGAGCCTTTCCGGAAGCTGGCGCTCTGCGGTCGGCCTCGGGCCCCTCCCCTGACCACGCTCCCATGGCCCGCCTGCCTCGGAGGCAGCTGCGCTGTGACCCAGACGGGGCGGGAAGCAGCGTCCTCCTCTGACAGATCCCCTCCGGCCACACTCCTGGCCTCTGTGGCTCCGGCCTCGGCTCTCCCTCTGCACGGCAGTCACAGCTGAGGGCAGCAGCTTCCAGGGGCCCCACTCACAGGCCCTGACCTCCCGGTGGTGCTGACCCCGAGGGGCTGGTCGGGAGGCCACAGGGAAAACCACTGCCCTACAACCAAAGCCTGACCCCATCGATGCTGGGTTCAGAGCTGGGGGAAGAGAGCGACTGCACTCTTCCTCTGGCCCACGGAGGAGGTCCCGGGCCTGAGACGTCACGAACGTCCCCACAAAACTCCAGAGACGTGTGTCCACCTGTTTCCTCAACAGACACCCTTTCTTCTCTTCCAGGCTGCCCTTTGACCTCTTCCCAAATGCTGTGACAATGGCCACGCTGCGGCCTGTGACCTGCAGGCCCCTCTCCGGCCGCAAGTGGACACATGAACACTCGGAGGAATGGCATCAGCAGGACACAACGCTGCGCCCTCAGAGAGGCTGCGCCCGAGACACTGACACTCATTACCGCTGCCCTGTGCAGGCGCACACTGAGCGCTTTGTGCACAGACGGCCCTCGCTGTGCTACAGAGGATGAGCCGAGGGCCGATGGACACTCACAAGAGTGCTGGTCCCGCTGTACCGTGGAGAGCCAGACACTGTCAGGAATACTGAGCTCAGTCCTATGTGTCTTAGAGGCGTATTGATTACCTGGAGGACAACAGGCACTTGGAGGTGATGTCATATGGGACATGCTTGCAGATACATGTATGTATTAGAGAGAGTGTGTGTGTGTGTGTCTCTTGGGAGGAGGGGGGACTTGCAGGAACATGTATGTGTAAGTGTGTGTGTGTGTGTGTGTGTGTGTGTGTGTGTGTGGTGCGTCTCGGGAGGAGGGGGGCTCAGCCTGGAAACCTCAAGATTCGGTAGCATAAGTCCAGCATCTGCAAGTGTCTGGAGGACGCTCTACAGAGACAGAGGCCCTGGGTGACGCGGGGACCCAGGGAGGCAGTCCTGGGGGCTGATGGGAGATCCACAGAGAAGTCTGCAGCCATCAGGTCCAGCGGGACCGGCAGTCTGAGGGGCCTGCCTCTGAGCACCAGGCGGTGTCCAGAGGGAAGCGGGACTCACCAGGGCTGCTGTCTCCTAATCACTGGGACGTGAGGACTGGAGCGATGAGAGGTCACTGGGAGACTTTGTCAAACCACCTGCCCTCTGTACCTCCGCCGGGCCAGACTGGAGCCTGGCTCCGTGGCACCGGCTGAGGGACCTCGAAGCCTCCACTTCCTCTGCCATTATATGGAGAAGCAGGTCGTTTCGAGGACTTAGATGCTGCATGTGAAGTGCCTACCATGACGCCTGGCACATAGTGAGAGGCCCAAAAATTAATGAAATGTGTCCCATTCCCATGTCATCATCTTCACACCCGAGTCCCTGACCCCGTCAGTTTCTATGACGTTTACGTTCACTCTCAGCCGCAGGCGGCAGTTTTACAGCCCCCGGGAACGCCCCGGGTCTCCTCAGCCTAACAAGGGACACCCCCCAGCGGAACCTCCGATCCGGCTCACCCGGCGCTGACCAGCAGCCGCGGGTCCGTGGGGACGGAGCCCCTGCGTGTGAAGGGGAAAGCGGCCTTCATCCTCCTGCTACACGAGCTCTGGCGTCTAGCGGGTCCGCCTCTGTCTCATTCCTTCCCTTTGGGGGAGCCCCTTGTTTGCTGACGGAGACGGCGCGGGTTTCAGAATTAACTTTACATACTGCGGAGACGCACGTGACCTTTTCCGTGGCAGCATGAGATGACGCCGGCAAACGGGGGAAGAGCGAGGGGGAAGCTGGGTTCTGGACTGCACCTGCGGGAGGGCTGAGCCGGCTCGCCAAAGCCCGCTCCCGGCACGCTGCCAGAGCGCCGGTCAGCCACCAGACGGATAAAACAGCCTCAGTGGCCACCGCTCCCCCCTTTATAGAGGCCAGGCTGCGTGGACGGAGTTCAACTCCTGCCCGAGGCTTCGTACGGAAACGTAGCGGCCCACGGACCGCGGCCACGCCGCCTCTGAGAGCAGGGGCGCACGGGGCGGGGAGAGGGCGTGGGTGTCCCCGCGGCCAGCAGCCAGAGGCATCGGCTACTTACGGCTTTTGGCTTATACGGGGGCTGGATCTCTTTGCGTTCAAGCTTCTCCCAGTCAATGTACCGGAAGAACGCATGCTCCTTGATGTCCCGCTCGCCCTCGGGCCCGCAGCCCAGACGTTTGCCCGGGTGCTTGGTCATCAGCTTCGGGAGAAAGAGAAAGGCGGGTTAGTGACCTCCGGGGAGCCGCCCGAGGCACAGAGAACTCCGCTGAGGAGTTAGGGGAGGACCCACAGAGCCCCAGCTGACACGAACACAGAGTGATATCCACGGGCACTGTAACTGGGGAAAAAAGACTTAAAAAAAGAGCCCCAACTAATTTCTTGTTGCCATTATTGTTAATCTTCACCAGGATATTTTTTCCATTGATTTTTTTTTTTAGAGAGAGTGAAAGGAGAGGGGGTAAGAGAAAGAAAGAGAGAGAAGGGGAGAGGGAGATAGAGAGAGAGAGAGACATCCATGTGAGAGAGACAAACATCCATGTGAGACACACACATGGATTGGTTGCCTCCCACACGCGCCCGGCCAGGGAGGGGATCGAGATACCTGCCCTCTAACCACTGAGAACACCACCCAGAGCCCAACTCTAATTTTTATTGTTTTCTTTTCATCCCAGCAAAACTTCTCTGGCCCAGGGCTTTATGCCAGGAGGCCCGACAATAGTGCCTGCGGGCTGCTCGTCCAGAGCGAGACCCCTGTGGTTAACCGAGGCCCGGATTCAGGCTAGAGAGGTCACCAGGATGAACGTGGGTTCCAGAGTCAGATCTACACAATCGCCGCTGCAGTGATGAGAGCAGTTCCGTTCCGTTCTCTTCCCCTCTCCGCCCACCAGGAGAAGGCCGCGGCCACACGCAGACGGCGCTGTATTTCTGTGAGCCTCGTGAAAGCGGCAAAGCAGAAGGAAATGCTTGTCAAATGGGCCCACGTTTCAAGTAATTACTTCCTGGAAGCTCATTAAGCAGTCCAAGCCGGCCGGCTCCTCTCCCGGCTCACACCCCCCAGACTCCACAGGGGCCTCCTGTTAAATTATTTCTCACACCTCCACGTTCCGCCCGGCAGCGCCGCAGCGAGCGGAGGAATAGGTGCTCCGAGACTAAACCGGACAGACTTCCTCCTGCGCCAACCAGAGGAGCTCAGAACTGCCTCCCCTTGCACTTCGGCACGTGCACAGGGCGGGTGCGAGGAGTGGTGCTTTTTAACAAACACAAGAGGGATCAAAATGCAGCCCTGGCCGGTCACTCAGTCCCTGGCCGGTCGCTCAGTGGTTAGAGCATCGCCCTCAGACTGAAGGGTCATGGGTTCGATTCCTGGTCAAGGGCACATACCTTGGTTACAGGTTTGATCCCAGCCCCAGTCGGAGTGGGTGCAGGAGGGAACCCGTTGATGCATCTCTCACATCAATCTCTCTGTCCCTCCCTTCCTCCCTCCTTCCTAATCTCTTCCCTCCTTTTCACTCTCTCTAAAAATCATTGAAAAAATATCCTTGGGTTTTTTCTTTGTTTTTTTTTTAAAGAGATGAAACAAAAGTGATTGAGACACACAGGTCCCAAAAGCTTCCAGCGTTGACCAGCACACCCCGACCTTTTCTTCAACAAAGCCACGCACGCTTAGTGTTAGCCACACTCATTGCTATGGCTGCCGGTCCGTGCTGCGGACCTCGCACCTTCTGGGTTCCAGCCTCTGGGCTCCCTGCCCATTCATTCCACACCAGACAGCGCCGGCTGGGCCGGAGGCTGGAGCCGCCAGCAGCGACATGCTGCTCCAGGCGGCCTGGAGGGCGTTTGGGAAATGAGAAAGAGCGCCCTTGCCTCCGGGGGCAGGTGGCCAGGGCTTGGGGATGGCCAGGGGTGAGAGGTGGAGCTCAGTCAGGCTCCCTCCTCCGCCCTCGGAGGGGCACCTGTGTGTGGAAGCCCTGGCTTCGAGGAGCTCACTCACCCCTTTGCAGATGGCCACGGCCTCCTTGGACATGGACTTGGGGTAAGCCACGTTGTGCTCCATGATGGACTGGAAGAGTTCGTCCTCGTCCTCCCCTTCGAAGGGTGCCTGCGGGACAGAGGGCAGTGGGCGAGCCGAGTCCTGCCTGCGCCCCCGGGCCAGCAGCCCCCGCCCCGCCCACGGGAGCCAGCAGCCCGCCCCGCCCATGGGAGCCAGCACCCCCCCGCCCTGCCCACGGGAGCCAGCAGCCCCCGCCCCGCCCCGGCCCATGGGAGCCAGCAGCCCCACCCCGGCCCATGGGAGCCAGCAGCCCCCGCCCCGGCCCCCGGGAGCCAGCAGCCCCGACCCGCCCCACGGGAGCCAGCAGCCCCCGACCCGCCCCACGGGAGCCAGCAGGCCCCGCCCCGCCCACGGGAGCCAGCAGCTCCTCTGCCCCGCCCACGGGAGCCAGCAGCCCCCGCCCCGGCCCACGGGAGCCAGCAGGCCCCTCTGCCCCGGCCCCCGGGCCAGCACCTCCCGCCCCGGCCCACGGGAGCCAGCAGGCCCCGCCCCGGCCCACGGGAGCCAGCAGCCCCGCCCCGGCCCACGGGAGACAGCAGGCCCCCCACCCCGGCCCACGGGAGCCAGCAGGCCCCCCACCCCGGCCCACGGGAGCCAGAGGGCCCCCCACCCCGGCCCACGGGAGCCAGCAGGCCCCTCCCCGGCCCACGGGAGCCAGCAGGCCCCCCGCCCTGGCCCACGGGAGGCTGCAGGGCTTCCAGCGGGAAGAGGAGAAAAATTGGCCAAGACTAGAGTCGCCCCAAGACATGAAGTCAGAGAGGCTTAGACTGATGAGCGGGGATCCAGCGGACACTCCTGTAGGGAAGCCCCACAGATGGTGCTGGGAGGACTTTTCCTACAAATCACTCCAAGTCAATTACCTGCCCGGCCAGCATCTCGTACAGCAGGACTCCAAATGCCCACCAGTCCACCGACTTCCCGTAGGGCTGGTACGCAATGATCTGCAAGACAGAAGGCCGCCCATCAGGGGGGAGCAGGTGCTGCGGCCGGAGACCGAACACGCGCCTTTGCAGTGAGAGTGGACGGCCATGGGGGGGCACCTGCCTACTGCGAAAGGTTAAACGGACTGTCCCCTTCGCCGGTGCAGGCCCCGTCTGAGTGGGTGGGCAGGAGCTGGTGTCAGCAAGCTGCTTCTGCCCACGGGAAGAGGGTTCCCGGGCAGCGGGGGAACGCCTGTGCCTGCCACGTGGCCTTTCGAGTCCCTTGCTATGTGCTCTTCTCAATTTTAATACAGCGAATGTAAACTTTTAGAAGAAAAACTGCATTTCTCATTATAAAAGGAATAACATTTATACAGCAATGTGAATGTATTTAATCAGTACTGAACTGTACATTTAGGAATAGTTAAGATGGCAAATTTTATGCTTTTATTTACCAAAATTTAAAAATTTTAAGTGAAAAAACATAATAGCATTTTAAAAAATATATATTTTATTGATTCTCCACAGAGAGGAAGGGAGAGAGACAGAGAGCCAGAAATGTCGATGAGAGAGTAACATCGACCAGCTGCCTCTTGCACACCCCCTACCGGGGATGTGCCCACAACCAAGGTACACGCCCTTGACCGGAATCGAACCCGGGACCCTTCAGTCCGCAAACCGACACTCCACCACTGAGCCAAACCGGTTTCGGCCGTAATAGCATTTATTTATATTTTACTATATATTTTAAAATATAGATAAGCTAAGAGAATCCCATTAAAATAACCCATAATCCTTTGTGGAGAGAAAAACTTATGATTGATATTTGGTCTATTTCCTTCTAGATTATCTTCTATGAATACAGATTAAACTCTATATCTGTGTGTTTCACATAAACATAAATACTTTGATGCATGAAATACTAATAAAGTACTTTATTCACTTAAAATTTCCATGTTAATATTTCTACGTGAACGTACTCAGGTTTAACTTTATAGTGTCCCACTAACTACAAAGCCTGTTTTATCAGTTCCCAATGGGCTAGGTTTCCTCCGATGCTGCAGTTCAGACTACTGTGACTGGGCATCCACATATTTGTCCACTGAGCTTTGTAAGGACCTCCGACGGAAGGTGCCTCCCTGTTTAACAGACTGCATTATATGTTTCTACATACAGCTTCTCAAGTGCACAGATAAAGGGATACTTTAAAAAAATAAATAAAAAGATGTATTCCTAGAAACAGATTTTGAGGGCTCCAACATTACACCCAGGTTTCAGGCTTTGATACTTATTACCAAATTGCCAAGCCCAGAATACCTTTGACCATCCACGTTTCTGATAAAGGTGTAAAACTCTATCAGAGGGGTTCAGAGGTGACAGAGCAAAGGTGAAAGGTCAAGGTCTGGGGAAGCAGTCCAGACTTTGGATCCCGACTGCTACTCCCAGGTGTGTCACTTACCTTCTTTAAGTCTGTTTCCTCATCTGCCAAAGCTTCTATCCATGCCGCAGGGTTTTGTGAGGATGTGAGAGGAACGTGTGCCTTCACATCTCATGCCCTCACATGTTTGTATTACTGGGAGGGCCTGGAATTCAGGGATTGCTTGTGTTGCTAAATGAGTGCATCTGAACACACTGGGTCCACCAGTCCAGCGCCGCCTGCCACACAGCTCCCACGTGGGTAGAAATGCACTTGTGCATTAGCCCCAGGGGACGGGGAGCTCTGTGGGGACTCCTCACTGAAGTGTCTGCTCACTTGTGAAGCATGTCACCCCCACTGGATCCCCACGACAACCCAACTCAATCCTTTCACCAAGGAAAGGAGCCAGAGGCAGGCCTGCAACTTGCCCCTTGTGCACTATAGAGGGGCCACCTCCCCACCCGAGTGCGTGCGTGTGTGTGTGTGTGTGTGTGTGTGTGTGCACGCACGCGCGCATGTGTGATGTAGACTAGGTTCCTAGGAGAGGATCTGCTTTGGTGAAAGAGAATGCAGATTTTAAATATTGAGCCATGTTATCAGTTACAAGGGGCCTCCAGTCACCAGTTCCATGTCCGGTGACAGACAAGCCTAGGATGCTGGCCACACCCTCAGTTCCGTTCCTTGGAGACCAAGAGCAGACTGTACATACAGTAACCTCTCTGGGCACCAGAGGAAGGAAAGTGTCGCCTGGCACAAATGTCTGTACCATGACGTGTTGGGAAACTCATTCTGTAACTGACCGTCTCCTTCGGGAAGAGGAGACTGGAATCCGACCTTTACCCTTTCATTTGTACCTTCATCACAGGAATGAGGCCAGGTCTTCCCGGGCTCAGCACACCTGTTGCCTCCTGCCTCAGATCAGCCTGGGACCTCTCCCGCCTCACAGTCATTGTGATGTCACAATAGGCAGCTACCACGTGGCCATGAGCCACAGGAGCCTGAAGGAGGATTTTGCTGGTGTGCGGTGGATGGTTCTGCTGAGTTTGATTAAGCTTTCTCCCAAACCCAGTGTATCTGGGCCTGCGCTCTGAGTGTGTGCGAGCCAATCTGCATGTGTGATCTCTAAGGACTGACAGCTCAGAGGGCCGGGGCTGCTCCGGGCAGCACCGGGTGGGAGCAGTGCGGGCTGGAGCCGGGCCCGCTCACCTCGGGGGCGATGTAGTCCGGAGTGCCGCAGAAGGTCTTGGTGGTTACCCCGTCCCAGATGTTCTCCTTACACATGCCGAAGTCGGCGATCTTGATGTGGCCCTCGGAATCCAGCATCACGTTGTCCAGTTTTAGGTCGCTGTTGTGAACATAAGAATGTAGGGACTTAATACACGTTGTTTATTTTAAGTCACCCAGCAGCCACTCATGTGAGCAGCCCTGTGCTCGGTGTGTGGGGGCAGAAGGAAGTGTAAGCAGCCCTGACCCTTCAATGGCTGATCATCTAGCAGGAAGGTCTGGAAAGGCCCACATACCCGTGTGCTGCTTTTTCTACACAGCCAACTGTGCCCAGCTCCTCGCCAGGCCCAGCGAGCCACCGGGAGGGAGAAGACACCCCCAGGAAGCTGGATGCTAATGAAGGGCAGAGGTCAAGGGGCACCTCACAACGGACATGTGTAACCTAAGAACCCCTTGCATTTCATAGGAAGAGGGTTTTTCCCCCACAAAATTGTTATTTTTTAATATGTTTTTATTGAGTTCAGAGAGAGGAAGGGAGAGGGAGAGGGAAAGAGAGATAGAAACTTCAATGATGAGAGAGTATCATCGATTGGCCACCTCCTGCACGTTCCCAGGATGGAGCCCCAAAATGCCTCTTATGTTAGTTTTAATTGAGTTGCTGTCAAATTTTCAACCAAAAGAATACAACGTGGACACATATGCAGGCATCTCCCACCTGTATGGGTGAGGTCTCTTCTTCCTAGGGGTGGTCTGCTTACACACAGATTCGGGGTAAGCTATCTTGGATGCTGTCCATGGTGCTACCCCTTTCCAGCCTCATGTTTATGTACAAACCGGGGTCCCTGCATGCTAGCTCAGAACTTAGGGAAATTCACTGAAACCGGTTTGGCTCAGTGGCTAGAGCGTCGGCCTGCAGACTGAAAGGTCCCAGGTTCAATTCCGGTCAAGGGCATGTACCTTGGTTGTGGGCACATCCCCACTGGGGGGTGTGCAGGAGGCAGCTGATCGATGTTTATCTCTCATCAATGTTTGTAACTTTCTGACCCTCTCTGTAAAAAAAAAAAACACCAATAAAATATTTTAAAAAGAACTTAGGGAAATTGGGCTTTACAGAAACATACTTTGCCTAGAGATACAGGTGTATATGTCTGGTCACCAGGGACCCATGACAGCCCCCTCCTCTGGACCCAGGCCCCCACAAAAGTAGCTGAAGGGATAAGATCTTCATGTTACAGGACAGGGGCCTCAGGAGCCACAGGCCTCAGGGTGGAGGATCCCCAGGATACTCGCTGCACATGGGTGTGGTGTGAGAGTCTTCTTTTGCTCAACGTGATACACCCTCATCTGACTCTAAGTTTGGCAGGAAGGCTCCCCGCCCCCCCTCTCCCCCCCGCCCCAACACCCCCAGCACGGTCCTCAGAGAGGTAAGTCTGACATGCCTGCTCACCTCTTCACTTAGGCTCTAAGTAAAGGAGGGAGCTTTGTAACTTTGGAAAAGACTGTGCCGCCATGAAGGCAATCTCAAGGACATTAAGAAGCCACACACGCTGTCATGTAGTTTTTATAGTTTTAATTTACCAATTTCAAAAACTCTTATCTTAACTGAGATTCTTTCATGTGAGCAACAAAAGCAAACTCTATTTCAATCTAAAAGGATGTTTTGAAGGGGATGGGTAGCTCATGGAGCCTGGTGAGGCTGAGGCCCAGGACGGAGGCCTAAGTGCAGCACGGAGCTGGCAGGAAAGAGCCCCCCCTGAGGCTGCCTCCGCACAGACTCGCCCTCCTTCCATGGAGCCCTGGCGCTGCCCACTGCTTGTTGTTACTAACAACCACTTCCCCGTTCGCCCTGGAACTAGGTGTGGCCAGTTTTGAGAGCCAGTCTCTGCTTCCTTGGCCATTAACTTCTGATTCAAGGTCTCGGCCAGCGTGCCAAGTGCCAGAGCCTGGGCTGTGTGCCTGGGCTGTGTGCCTGGCCTGGCTGGGGGTGGGCGGGAGCCCCGCTAAGAGAACACTAAGAGAATATCTGTATTTTAAATCTGCACAGTGGGAGGTGGGCTCTTGCTACACAAATGCTGGGCTCAGATGCCAAGTGGCTTACAGGGATAATGAACGGCTCCTGAAATCAGCTGAAGGAGCGCGGAGGAGCGTGCACTCAGGGGAAAGAGCTTTGGAGTGAAGCATGCTGAGCGCCGAGATGCTGGCCTTGGGAATTTACGCCCTGAATGGCTCCGTCCTGTCTCCCACACCCCTGATCCCAACTGGAAGCCTTACCCTGATCCCAACCCAGCGGGCAAAGATTCTTATTTCCTCTTCGGGGTCCTCCCCTGGAATAGGATTTTCTTTAAGAAACCTGCAGTCCCATGGTCCATCCCCCAGCAGCCTGAGCGCTGTACAGGGTCAGGCTCTGAGGTCACGTGAACGGAGAAAATCAGTCGAGCAGTCACCCAGCCCTGCCTCAGGGTAGGCACAGGGAGTCACTGGCTTCAATTCATGGCTCATGTTACAGAAGATGTGTAGCTGCAACACCAGCATTGCCTTCGGCACACCAAGATGCAGCGCCATGACGGCCGCGGGGAATCCGAGGCTTCACAGGTCCGCGTGGGCAGTGAGGGTGAGCATGGCGGGATGACTGCACTACGTGCAGTCCATACTATTACCCCCTCATTCCTGTTGCCCCTACCCCAGAGCACCGAGCGCCAGCTGCAGCCTCTCCTCTCTGACCGCCCTCCGGCACCGGGAGTAAAGGGTGTGGGGGCTCCGTGTAGTCAGGACGAGATCGTCCCTCCACGGCTAGACTTCACGCCGCTTCCTGAGGGGTAAGCCAGGATCTGCAGGCTTCTGGTCAGGCCCCGCCTTCCCTCCCTCCATCCATCAGCATTCACGGGCCACACCGATCTGCGGAGACCACCGGGCCTGATCCCTGTGCGCGTTTTAGTCCCGATCCTTCGGCTGCTTTAAGAGGTCCAGGACTCTGAGTCCCCCTAACTCTTCAGACCCTCATCGCACGCCATCTGCAGAACGGCGGGCACCACCCCACCCTGCACACCGGGCCCTCTCCCTGCTCGCTCTCCCTCCATAGCACTCACCGCTGCTCCGCGGCCTCGGCCTTGGTTCACGCGCCCGCCTCCCACCACCAGAGTCTCAGTTCCACAAAGCAGGCGGTTTGGCCTGATTTTTCACAGCTGTACCCCCACCACAGTGCTTGGCAGGATTTTGATAAAATGTTTGTCGAATGAATGAATGAAATGGATTCAATAGGCCCCACATGTGGCAAGTGCCCTCCGGAAGCCCTGCACCGCCAGCCCCTCTTGTGTGGCAGCATCCCGGCCGGCACTGTCTGTGCGGTGTGGTCTGTGTGGTTGTGAGAACTGCACACCCCGGACTCACGGACAGACAGCAGCCACTCCGCCGCCTGCCTCGCGTGAAGTGTAAGATGGTCTGACTCATGCAGCTGTGAACACACAGTTGCTCCCAAACATGGGCAAAAGCCAAGTCCCAAACCTAATCCTGTCTTCCAGGGGAAGCTACTAGAAATCCATTTCTAAACTGTGATTACATAGCAAAACACACAACTCGTTCCAAAATAATATGATCTTCCACGTCCTGCCAACAAGATGCTTTGCTTGCTCCCCAAATGTGCAACTGTGGGGTCTCCAGGCAGGAGGAAGTGCTGGGCCCACTGCTGAGCCTCCTCTCAGAGCAAATGGCCTTGGTTTGCAGGGCAAACCAGCCCTGGGGGCAAAGGGCAAGGACGTCTGTCGCCGCACGGAGCTGCCCGAGCCTCCGCCTGGTAGAGAGCACAGGCCCCGGTTAGCCTGGGAGGACTCCGCCCCACCATGGAACCGATTCTAAAAGCAGTTAAAGAGGCAGGGAAGGGAGGAGCGAAGGCCACGCGGGGAAGCACACAGCTCACGTACCGGTAAATGATGCCCTTGCTCTGTAAGAAGAATAGGCCGATGGCGATTTCTGCAGCGTAAAACCTGAAATAAACAAAAGCCATGAGAAGTTCAAGGACACCATGTGCTTGGCAGCTCTCAGAGTTTAATACAACATTGAACTGGGCGTAGGACATCAATGCCTGTCATGGACGGCCAGCCACCCATCTCATAAGACAACGGACGGGTGTGGATGGGTGAGCAGGGTGTAGAGAGCCGCCCTGAGGATGCACGGGAGTGGGCAGAGGGTCAGCAGTTGCCCAGTGGGGAGGAGGCCATGGCTATGGTGGACTAGCCGGAGAAAGGTCGGTTCAGAGCACACCAAGTTAAAACAGCTTAGTAATAGCAGCTGCCATCTGTGGAAGGCTGGCCCTTCACCTCGCATCATTGTGGGTTATTAACTGTTTCAAATTTAACTACCATCTGGTGGGTTCTACTATTACCTCCTGCTCCTTAACTGAGAAAACCGAGGCTCAGTGATATGAAATAACGTGGCCCAAGTTCTACAACTGATAAATGGTAGGCCAGGGTGGGAGAGCACTTACTGAAGGCGGTTACAGCACAGGGCTGGGCAGGGCTTCGGGCACGTGTGTGTGTGTGTGTGTGTGTGTGTGTGTGTGTGTGTATGTGTGTGTGTGTGTGTGTGTGTGTGTGTGTGTGTGTGAGAGAGAGAGAGGGAATAGGATTAAGGCCTAGAGTCCACTACTAGAAGTTGAAGAAGAGAGACAACCCTGAGCTCGCACTGCCATGGCAATTGTGCCACAATATATGAGTGGCAGGATTTGGAAGCAGGAGAATGCAACTCTACCAGCATATAGTGGTCACAGCCTGGGCAGGGAGGAGGACAGGGCAGGGCTGAGCTGAACGGCAGCCTCTGGAATGACAGGATGGGGCCCTGAGAGAGTCCTGGGGGCTTGGTAAAGGGCCATGAGTTCTTAGCAGACGCCCTACGCGAGCTTGTCAACCCACCGCATGTTCCCAGGGCAATGCAGAGGAGGGCCCTCACTTACACAGCGTGAGGCTCCTTAAACCGGCCAACCTGCTGGATGTGGTACATGAGGTCACCGCCGTTCACGTATTCCATCACAAAGTACAGGCGGTCCTGGAGGAAGACAACAAGTAGCCCATCAGCACCGGCATTCCTCGGGTTCCAAGCGGACAGCAGGGCACAGCGGGAGGCATGCCACCAGCCTCCAGCCTCCAGCGGTCCGCCTTTGTTCCCCGCGGGGGTGGGGGATGGGAGGGCGGGGAGGGGTGGGGTGCTTGTGTCACTGTAAGCATGCAAGTGAGCACAGGTGGTGCAAGAGTGTTCCTTTTAGTCAATAACTCTATGTTCATTTGTATTGACAAAGACACAGCACATGAGTCTTGGGATTTAATAGGTATTATTATATTTAGAATAAAGCTAGTTTTAGTAAAAAGTAGGCAATATTAAGTCAATCCTATCACAGTTAGTAGGTGGCCTATCAAAGCTCCATGATGCCCCCTTCTATGAGTTTCACCTCCTGGTCTTCACATCCTAGGTAGTCCTTCCCACGAGGACAAAGACTGACTTGGTAATCAATAGGATACAGTAGCTGACAATGACAGACAATGACGGTGTGGGACTTCCCAGACTCCAGACAAAAGACATGACAGTTTCCACTTTGCTCGCCCTTCAATCACTTGCCCTGGAGGAGGCGGCTGCCGTGGCCCAGGGACCCCCTGCAGCACCGTGGAAAGGGGCCTTCGGCAGAGGACGGGCTTCCTGCCACAGCCAGCACCCCTCCCGCCCCGTGAGTGGGCCACCGTAGAAGCAGCCCCTGCAGCCCCAGTCAGACCTTCAGGTGATGCAACCCCAGATGGAGAGCACCATTTTTAAAAAATTAAATTTATTGAGGTCACATTGGTTAATAACATATACAAGCTGCAGTGTCCAACTGTATAATACGTCATCTGTATATTGAATTGTGTGCTCACTACCCATAGTCCAGTCTCCTTCCACCACCATATATTAGGGCCCCCTTGACCCTCTTCAGCCCCCCCACCCCGCCCCCACATCCTTCCCCTATGGTAACTACCATACTGTTCTCAGTGTCTAAGAGTTTGTTAGTTTTGTTTCTTCATTTGTTGCTTCCTTTTTTATTTCCCACATGAGTAAAATAATATGATTCTTGTTCTTTCCTGTCTGAATTATTTCTCATAGCATGATAAAGACCTAAATATAAAACCTGAAACAACAAAATACGTGGAAGAAAATTTATGGGCCTTGTTGTTCTCAAAGAGAATTTTATGAATTGACCTCAAAGACAAGAAAAGTAAAAGCAAAAATAAATGAATGGGACTACATCAAATTAAAAAGCTTCTGCACAGCAAAAGAAACCATCATCAAAAGAAAAAGGCAGCCAACTAAATGGGAGAAGATATTTGTGAATGATGTCTCCTATAAGGAGCTAACATCTAAAATATATAATGAACCCATACAACTCAACTACAAAAGTAAACAATCCAATTAAAAAATGGGCAGGAGCCCCAAACATTTTCCCCAAGAAGACATACAACTTTCATCTGAGACCCCAGAGTCAGAATCGCCCAGGGAAGCCACCCTTGAGCTCCCGGCACACATCACTCCTTTATATCACACTAGTGGCCCGGTGCACAAATTCATGCACATTGAGAGAAAATTAATTAGAAAAAAAAAATTAATATTACTATTCACCTTTTCTCTATATTAGAAGTGTCAACCAAATTCATGATTGACAATGACAGATCAAAACATATGATTGGCGCCAGATAGAGTTTTATATAAAGAGATAAATTTGCTTAATAAGACCTGCTTTCTGATTTTAGCTAAACTTTGTCCAGCTCAGTGAAGCACTCTAACTTCTTTCAGGTAATTGTCAGCAACATTGCAATAAATATCAACATGAAGCAGATTATTATTATAGATCATGAAGGGAGAACAAAGATAAAATATTTAACTGCAGCAGTGTTTGACTATATTCTGTGCAGTGAGAAAACCTGAAGTGATTTTCAAGGTCCACCATTTCTTACTTCTTTTCAGCAGGGTCAAGTTTCTAAACTTTCTAAATCTCTGTTTTCCAGCTAATGAAAAGAAAATAGGATTTCACCAATTCTCCTTTCTACTTACTCCAGGATTTTTGTGAGGATCAAATGAGATGAGGCATCGGAAAACACTTCACAGACACTTGGTTAAAGTGTAAAATGTTTCCCCTTGGCTATAAAGCAAGTCGTGTTCCTGGGCTGAAGAAACTCCAAGGAGGCTAGTCACTAGGGAGAGGAAGTCAAGCATTGCAATGTGACATCATTACTCAGCGCCCACAGCCACCATTTCTGAGCTGGGCTGGTAGTGAGCTGCATTTTGTGCGATGAGATCTTGGCAGGATTGGCTGCGATTTGATAGGTTGTCGCTCAGGATGGTGGCAGGATGGTGTTCTACTGGGGGAAGCTGAGTATTGCTTTGTGGGTGCCACTGTGCCATTTCTCTGTAAATGACACCGCAGCTCCTGCGTTGAACGTCTGCCCCCTGGCGATCAGTGCGCATCATAGCGACTAGTCAGACAGGTAGAACTAATATATTTTATAAATATATTAGAGGCCTGGTGCATGAAATTCATGCACTCAGGAGGAGTCTCTGAGCCCAGCCTGCGCCCTCTCACAGTGCGGGAGCCCTCAGGGGATGTCCAACTGCTTCAGAGGGGGGAGAGGCTCCCGCCACCACCACTGTGCTCTCCAGCTATGAGCCCAGCTTCTGACTGAGCGATACTCCTCCTGTGGGAGTGCACTGACCACCAGGGGGCAGCTCCTGCGTTGAGCATCTGCCCCCTGGTGGTCAGTGTGCATGACAGTGACTGGTCGTTCTGCTGTTTGGTTAATTTGCATATTAGCCTTTTAGTATATAGGATACATGATCAACTTAATAAAAAGTGAAAGGAAGGGGTGGAAATGGCCAGCATGCTCTACAGAGAACTGGGTGTAATTTTGTGAAATGCACTTTTATGTTATATTCATATATGTCGATATGGCTGGGTCGCAATGTAAAAGGTTTGCAGTCAAAAGTTGCAAAGTTATTGTACAGACAGGGCTGCAAGACCAGGCGCAGGGGTCATGAAGCACTCAAGGGCAGGGCAGGGCAGTTTCCGGTTCTGAAATCCATACAGGATCTGACGTCCCTTTCCTCTACTCTCTAGCTGTGTGACACTTCTCCAGTCCCCTGCTGTCTCTTCACTTGTAGATGGACTTTGCTCGCCTGCCCACCAGAGCACTAAGAGACAGGGAGCATGTCCACAGGACGTTGACTGTGCAACAAATCTGCCACCCACCACTTACAAAAGCTCCTGAGAGTGCACCGAGCTCCATCATCAATAACACCACAAGCGCATGTGTTAAATGTGTACAGAGTGCCTCATACCATGTTTCCCCGAAAATAAGACATCCTCCAAAAATAAGACCTAGCGCTTGGAAAGATAAGACATCCCCTGAAAATAAGACCTAGCGCAACTTTGGGAGAAAAAATTAATATAAGACACTGTCTTATTTCAGGGAAACAAGGTAGTTAGAATGACAAAATCATGAAATAAAGCTATCATCGTGTGAGCACTAATATGTGACTGAGCTGAGTGCTCTGCATGTGTGGTCTCACTTACCTTTCTAACAACTGAACATGACCAGTGTTACCATTTTCCCACTCCCCCTCCCCTTTTTGTAATCCTTACCCACGAATATATGTTTTTATTGATATTAAAGAGAAAAGAAGGGAGAGAGAGAAACATTGATGTGAGAGAAAAATATCACCTGGTTGCCTCCTGTACATGCCCAAACTGGGGATCGAACCCACAACTGAGGTATGTGCCCCGATCAGGAATCAAAGCCACAACCTTCTGGTGTGCAGGACCACACTCCAACCAACTGAGCCTCCTGGCCTGGGCCCATTCTCCCTTTTGAAAGACATGAGTGTTGAAGCTCAGAAAAAGTCAATAGCCCACCCAAGTGCACATAGCAGCTCAGCTGCAGATTCAGGATTTGAACCCAGGCAGAGTCAATACATGCGACCTCTTAGCAGGTGCCTCCTGAGTGAGGTTCTGAGCTAGACACCGTGTGCTGAATGGTATGTCCTCCCCTCCGAGGGGTCGGGCCCAGGGGGAGAGAGCTGGCAGGCCACAGGGGAGGAGTCCAGGATAATAGATTACTTGGAAACGCCAAAGGACTTCCTCAGAGCAATACTCCTTTGCCCTCTCAACATCTCCATGAGGGCCAGAGAACGAGGCAGCGCCCAAGGCACATGTGATGTGGAAAAAGGTCACATACAAGTTAGTGGTGGAGTGGACACAGCCAGCCGGAACTGCTGACACCCGATCTGGTTCTTGGAGTGAGGGGGGGATAGGAGGGAGGAGAGGAGGTTTGATAGAAAATAGGCTTTAAAATAGCATCTGTCTTTGCTGCATGTTGAAAGAACCAACACACTTGATTTTAAAACTTATTTTTAAAGCTAGCAGATGGCATCGGCCACGGAGAAGAAGCGAGGGAGAGATTTCACTGCTTTTGCTCGGAAGGCCCTGTGCGCACAGCCACAGTCCCGCCTCGGGCTCCGCTGAGGGGAGCGCCACGCTCTGGGGGCCCTTCTCCCACGAGGCGGATGCGGGGAAGCCTGAGGCCCACCAGCTCGGGACTTGACCGCGCCCGGCTTGGCACACCAGGACTCCAGCTACCGCACATTATCCCGGCATCTCACTGTCCCTTCGCTTTCTGAACAAACACTATGCCAGGCGCTCTTCCGCTGCCAGGGGTGCTGCTGGGGGTAATCTGGGGCCCCTGTGAGGAACTGCCCAGGCCCGTGGGGAGACCAGACACATGTCCCCATGGCAACCTTGTCCAGACGGGGTGAGCGAGAACTGAGGTTGGGCTGTGGATGCACATGTTCCCGCTATCACTCTGTGTTGTTTAATGTGTGTGTGGAAACAGAACGAGCACGGGAAGGCCCTGGTTTTATGGCTCTTGCTGCTGAGGGAGGGAGGATGCATGGAGCTACAAAGGAGGAGGGACAGAGGGTGCGGCCAGGTGAGGACGAGGGGGCAGGGGGGCACCTGCCCCCTCTCGCCCTCC